GCACAAACAACACATGAATTTACCTGAGAGAGAAAAAGACAAAAGATGGAAACGACAAACAAAAAGCAAAGGCGTCTTTGGAGAAGTTACTTCTGTGTAGAAAGTTTTATCTTCTTTTCTTTAATTTATTCAAATAAGGCGTATATTTGCTCCTCCAACCAGGAGCTATCTCTGACCCTTTATCTGAAGCCAGAAACCCCTGCCGTGTTTACGGCTTTTCACAGATGAGTGTGAAAAGCTACAACTTCTCCTGTATTGTTTTCCACACAGACAAAAGGCAGTTCAAAAGATCCTAGCAAACCATCTGCTGTAACTACAGGTAACATAAAGGTCAATAGGCCAGAATAAGTTACTGATTTCAAAACCACAATTAGGGCATTTGAATCAAGACAAGTTTTAAAACTAGCTTATTTTAAACTTATCTTTAATTTTTCTTAACACTATGTATGTGGATGACTTGGGTTTGTTTTGGGTCCGGAGTGAATCTCATTTCAGTGACCACACCAGCGCTATGTAAACTGAGTACAGTTGATGTAAAGTAAACTAAAACAAGCGTCCAACACATTATGACATAAATTGATGTTTGTAGGTGGTGTGGATGGATGCGTTGGACCCAGGTAGTTGAGCAAATAATGGTTTAATGATGAGCAAAGTAACAGGAATCCAGGAAGCATAGGTGAGGAATGAAGCAAGGAAACTCGGATACTGGTAGCAACTGGAAACATACACGACTGGAAAATAACACGACAAGGACCCGACAGGGAGCAGGGGACACAGCTGAGGTTAAAGACACAGGGAGTAATCAGGGAACTTGAGACACAGGTGGGATCAAACAACACCAAGACACAGGGACTAAATTAACAAAAAAACAACAACACAGAAACCTAAATCTTCACACATTAGTCATGATGAGGTAGGAGCCAAGTGCAGGGAATCAGAGGCAGAAGTTTCAAAAGTTCAAAAATACCTTGAACTTTAATGGCAACACTAAAGGAAAACTTATGGATGTAAAACAGCTAAAAACAGGGTTGTTTCTTTTCCCTCTTCTATACTATGTGTGTGTGTGTGTGTCTGCGTGTGCACGTGTGTGTGTGCGTGTGTGTATTTTAAATTATACATGTTCCAGTTACAACTGCTGAAAGCTGTATTTTGAATGTTCTATAGGGAAATAAAATCCATTTTGCTCTGTTAAATGAATAAGGTAATTTACTGAAAAAGTAAAAACAATACAATCACACATGAAAAGCATTGATGGAGGAGCAGCCCTGTGTTTGACCTGAGTTTACACTTGGTTGATCTTTTGTAATTCTACTTGTATAACACATTATTATACCACTTTGGGTCGCTCTCACACTGCAGGTTTATGATCACGATTCTCTTGTTTCTCCATCTTGCATCATCGTATTTATATATCCTCATCTTCCTCTGCTGTGTTTTATTTTCCTCTGTGATTTCAGTGTTCTCTCCCCCCTCCAACATACTACAAACCAATTCCTCTGACCTCTGGAAACATGGACCTCTTAGATCCATATTCCAGTTCTCATCTGTCTCGTATTTCCAGTTTTGTTTGCTTGTCTAACTTTCTCACCACCTTTAACATCAAAGCTGTGTTTTCCCCGGAGCTTTCATTGGCTAGCCTAGCCTATTGTTAAATAGCAGTCTTTCTGTTCTGCCGTTGTTGAGAAAAACTCTGACATTTTCCTTTAAGAAGTTGATCAGCTCGGTACTGCTGATTACAAATAGGCTTCAGTGGCGTCAAGCCTCCAATGGGCCAAAGGCTTAGCATGTTAGCAGTTCCACTCTCAGATAATTTTGCATTAGTTCACTGGCTCTTCACTTTGTCACACAGATAAAGCAATGCTTCAAACATTTTGGAGCAAATACATTAAGATTCATGTGTTCTATTTACACAAGAAGAATATTAGACCTTCTATTATTTACATCTGTCCGTGCTGACTCATTATTCCTCATGAGGATGAGTGAACCAGTTAAAGCAGGAACACATGGGCTATTGTATAACACAATCTGCCTTATTAAAAGTTGTGGGCCGTTTTGTCATTATTTTTCCATCACTAAAGCAGTTAAGGGGCCTGGAGTTGATTCCCATTGTGGTATTCACCTCCACTGCTTCAGTGTCCGCCAAAATTAGCCGTGAGTACAGTCCAGCATTCTGGTACATTTCAGAAAATTAGAAAACTGCGTGAAAGTGTAATTTCTTGTTTTATTTTTTTTTATTTATCCTTTGATGCATTTGCAAAACATTTGTTTTCCACATCGTCACAGTGAGGTGTTTCTGTGTACAGTTTTGAGGAAATAGATTAATTCAATACAAATTGAAATAAGGTGCAGAACTGAATCGCTCATTGTTAAGTCCACAAAGGGCACGACATATTTGAGGACACAAGGCAAGAATGATCACAGGTTTTTCTTATGCCAAGGTGACCAGCTAGTGGTCACCAGCTAATCACAAAATCTCTGATTGATATGGGGTTGGGACAACAATCTGTTTCACAACACTCCACTCTTAAACAGGAGAGACATTTAAAGGCGTCCATTTACGCATCAAAAGCCCATCATTTAAGAAATAGCCAGTAGAAATGGAGTCAGGATTATCAGTTAATGCATCATTAAACAAAGGTACTAAGCTTTTGTCAATTTTTTTGGAGCACCATCAACTGCTGTCTAGATAATGACAGTGAATTTGCATCCAACATGTCCTCCTCCACACTCTTTAATGGGACATGTTCGGATGGAGCGCTACACAGAAAACTTTCATTCAAGTCCAAGTGATCTTTATTGTCCTTTTGTGGATGGTTAAGTGCTGTGCGCGTAACTCTGCACGACGTGAACACATCAGGGAATGTACGAGCAAGCTCATCTGGACAGGTGCGCACAGCGGTGCTGCCAGGAATCTTGGGCCCCCTGAAAAAAAAATTTAATTGGGCCCCCTTCCCCCACGCAGCTGCTGTTACAATTTCTTAAGTCTATCTGACCCATCAAAAGTGTCACAATTTCAAAGGCTTGCAATTGCCTTGCTTTCTTTGGTCCAATACTGATAACAAGTACAATATTTACGCTCATGTGAAATTCAGTATGCATACAGTATGCAGGTTGTTTAATTTTTTCTATTAGTTTTAGATTACTGAAATGTCTCCCCATGAGCAACAGTTGTAGGCAAGATGCAAAATATATATGAAGCAATCCAGACTTCTCAAAAAGTGCTATGTAGTTGCATTTTATTCAAGCTGCAGTATATAACTTTAATAAAAAATATGTTTTCTCCATATTTGTTAAAGTGGAGTGTGGAGTGAGGTAAATATTGAATTGGATGCTGGTCTGTGATTTTATTGAGTTTTGTCAGTTTCATTAGTTGTTTGTCTAATAAATGTTATGTTTGGACTTGGAAAACGTTTGTCTTGTCTTTATGGTTCAGCTGATATGACGACATCAAGGAATCCGAGCAGGAGAAAGAATAAAATGAGTCAAAAGATTTTAATTCTTCTTCTTCTAATTAAAATTAACAACATATTTAGGCCATTTAAGTGTGAATGTCACCCTTTCAAACAACTGAGACAGTTTCAAATTTGACAAAACTATTTATTAAATTCTTGTAAAATGTTATTTTTAAAACCAGTTCTAAAAAAAAAAGAAAAACAAATAAGAAAAACAAAAGAAACTGCAGTAGCTGAGGTTACCGGCAGGAGGGACAACTTTAGGGATGGCATCCACCAGATACAGCAAACAAAAACCCTTTAACCCTTGTGCGTGCGAGGACTGAAGCAAACGTAGAGGACTGTGGCAAATGATACAAGTTTTACGTGTGTGGGGTCGGTTGGACCCCATTTCTAAACACAAGGGTTAAAGCACCAGACACAGTGAGACAACCCAAACTCAGGAATCACGGCACACAGAAGAGGAAGACATTGTCACCACACCAACACCGCCACAGGACCTCAGCAAGTGCAGACGAAAAAGACAGTTAACAAATGTAACAACCTGAAACTTAATACAAAAAAAAAACAATGTCAGCCCAAATAAATAAACAGCTATATAAAGAACCAAAAGGGCTGCAAACAACATAAAAAATAGAAACTAACATAAAATACAAGTTAAAATCATCAGGACTGGGCGTGGCCCTCTTGCCACGCCACGGCAGGAGGCGAACTGGGCGCGTCAATGCCACACCCCAAACACTGCTTCAATGGAGACGGCTGAACAATACCGCAGTTCGACTTTAAAAACAGATGAAAGTACAGAAATCCGGGAGAAAAGAGCAGCAATGGTCCAAATATGGGGGAAACCTGCCGATCCACCCAACCGCACACACACACTTGGAGCGAGGAAGAGGAGGAGAGCAGTGCCGTAGCGTTTAACCACCAGCAAGTCAGAGCTGCATGCACCACAGTTGGCGATTTGTTGCCATTTATGGCCAGAACCCACGGGACGCGAGTCACACAGTGGGAGCACAAGAAAGACTTGTATCTGACTGGATGCAGCAGCTTCTTATATACCACGCCCACTTAACCCAACCAGAAGTTTTCACCTGGAACTATTTGTGTAGAAATATTTATATTTCTATACCACCACATAACCTTGAAATGCTACTAACAGCAACTGATCCTTTGTGCATTTACCCAAGGACTCCAATGACGGTTTTTTAACAAACTCATCCAGGTCAAACTCCATGTCTAGACCGTAGAATCAAGCCACACTTTTTACCTATGCACAAACAAAGCTACAAGAAAACTATGCCCAAATGTCCTAATTAAACCACCGCAACGGACGCCAACTGCACAAAATGCACAGAAAAATGAGCATAATCGCCACAAACCAAAAAACAACCTCAGGACACGACTAGTTGCTAAAGGTAAACTTTGTTTAAATGAGACCCCATAAATACGTTACATCCACCAAGGGCACAACATATTTGAGGACATGAGGCAAAAATGAGGGTTCAAAAAATTATTTTATTCTTAAACTCTCTTGATCTTTTCTTTTGGTTCAACTCTCTCTGTTTTTCTGTTTAGAAAAACAGAGAGCGTTAAATACCCTCACTTTCCCGTGTCCCAAAAAAGAGAAAAACAACACCCCAAAAGTATTAACAGAAAGTTGGACCTGGTGAGCCGATCAAAAAGAACAAAACGGTACAGCAGTGGGCCAACCCTATACAGGACCGTCGAAGCCCCTACTAGTACCGAACTAACGCCAAAAAAGAATCTACTGCGAAGAAAGAATCAAAAACAGGACAACTGGTCCCACCAAGCCAAAATCACAAAGAAAACAGCAAACAAACAAAGGCTAACAAAAATGGCAGGCGGGAGACGTCAGCTGCGGCCTACAGCGACTGGAGACGTGTGCGCACCGCGTCAGGACACATCCTCAGTGGTGGTGGTGGAGCGAGTGGAAGGGCGGGTCTCAAACATGTCAAAACCCAGCATATTTATAGGCGGACCAACAGTGCCACAAATTAACGTAATCAAATTAATTACCAAAAATAAGAAATTATTCAAACTCCAAAATATGTATATTAACAAAAAGTCATTCAACTAAAGTCTATACAAAACAATCTAGAAAAAATAGACAAAAATAATTATAATGTGCCCAAAGCACATAACACTCATCCACTCATCATCTACATCATCCACTCACTGTTTCTGCTGTACTTCACGGTTAATGTGCAACTTTGTTTGCAGGTCCTGGCAGCATTTATCTGATCTGACCAGGTCGATTTCATGATCCGATTCCATGCATCTTCATTACTGGATCACAGAACACATTACAGGACGCAGTAGTTGGTAAGAACAAATATGTACAAGGACTTGGAGGACTGTATGTTACATGACTCTGACTAGTTTTCAGTTCTTGTCTAGCCAAGGTGTTTCAAGAATTTTGCCTCCATATTTGAATATATTATCCATAAAACTAAAGTAATTTTGATCAACCAGATCAGAAAAGGCAGACTTACAAACATCTTTAAAAGGTTGTGTTCTGGTCATCATGTTTAAAGAACAGTTTGTCTGGACAATGGACACGGCTCCTGGTGAATCAGGTACCGAATGCAGACACTCATCACTGGTCCCACAATAGAGGGACTAATTCTCAAGTTTCATCTGAATCAACATTTTACAATGACATAAGACATTGTAATAACATCTTGCCATAAAGGCAAGATTATTATCAAGGTAAAAACAGCAAATTGCCTGAATGAATGTGAATGAATGAATGTGTTTGCAAAGATTAGAAGGACACAATAGCCTTTACTCTGTTTGAAACTCCAAACAAGTTATTCAATTAGAATAATTAGAATGTTTTAGAACTACAGGATTTCATCCATTATCTAACACAGCTACTAGATTATTCTTTTAAATTTTAGACATAATTTCTTTGTTTTTCCTCAACGATAGCTCGATTTCCCGTCCTGTCTTGATTTTTCCGAGCCTAAGTTTCCCCCTCATTACACATTTTCAGTGTGTCTTTGTGGATTTGTGAACACCACCGCTGTGGTCTCGACCTGTGCCCTTATGTAATCAGTTCAAAGCCTCACGCTGTTTGCCTCTGCGTTTGAGCCAGGCGCAGCATTTCTAGGGAGAACCGGACCTCTTGCATTGGCAAGTATGCCTCCAGGAATGAATTGTGAGAGGAAGGAGTTACTTGGCTGGCTGAAATGAGGCAGTATTGATGTTACGAGCTGCCTGTTTATGCTGCAAGTGGGAGGAAAAAGAGCCAGAGAGCCTTTGATTTAACTGCTTCACTTTTACTGAATGCAAACCTCATGGTAAAAAGATTTGGCAGTGACACAAATGTTCTGGTGTGGACCTTTGTTCAATGTGATTTTTATGTTTCTGTTTGATGCTATACAGCAGTGGTCTCCAAACTACGGCCCACGGGCCGGATTCGGCCCGCCTCCACATTTGGTCCAGCCCCCTGAACAATACCAGACAGCATTTAGATTTTTTTTTCATATACTGTATTTTCTGGACTATAAGCCGCTACTTTTTTCCTAAGCTTTGAACCATGCAGCTTATAGCCCGGTGCGGCTTATATGTGGATTTTTCTTCAACCACCAGGGGGCTCTTTAGCAGGAAATGAATCATTGGAAGTCAAAATTGGAAATAAAAGAAGAAAGCGCCCATTAAAACGGAATCAGGTTTTAATAGGGAATTGAAATTTGAGAATGTTGTTGATCAGTTAAATAGCATTGAGGGGAAAAAGAAGATTTTTTTGTTTTTTTAAATAATACTGGGATCATTATGAGAATTTGAGGTACAGATATTAGGATCCAGTAGATGGCAGTAGTGCAACAATAATGGATGCAAGCTGCTGTTGAAATCTAAAGAAGAATAATAAGAAAGCGCCCATTTTCATTTAGCACATGCTAGTAGCAGACACGAAGGACCAGCACTTTTACTGTTACAGTTACCGTTCGGAAACTACCGTAATCAGTTCAGTTAAATCTAAACTTGGTAACTTTTTCTTTGTCAACCGCAATAAATGTGACATTCAATTGGCCTGTTATTACTCAAATTTTGGGTGTCCGCCCCTCTCTGCTGCCTGCTGCATCATTGTGGAAAACCTAGAGTGGCAGAGATATCTGCGGCTTATATTCCGGTGCAGCTTATAGTCAAGAAAATACGGTATTTATTTCATAAATAGTGTTATTTCCTGGATTTTTTCTGTGAAGAACCCAGAGAGGGTTATTTGATTATTATTTACAGTACAGACCAAAAGTTTGGACACACTGTATTTTTTGAAGTGTCTCTGAGTTGTAGTTTTTTAATTAGAGCAGTTTTAGTAATGAAAGAGGTGCCAAAAATGGTGAAAATTGAACTTTGAGTTTTCACAAATAAGAAAAAGGTTT